TCCATAATTTTGACTGAAATGTCTGATCGTATTTGTTCCACCAACAAAAGCCAGTCACCTGAAGAGGCCTTTGAGAAATAAGTAGATCAGAGAGGTATAAAGGAGCAAGAACATACAGTAGCAACCATTCAAAATAACCCTGTCTAGTCAAAAGCCGGCCCAATGGCAGCAAAATCCCCTCCAACTTCCAGCCACTGGCCTTCTTATGGTCTTGCTTATTTTTTACTCCGACTCCCTCCTTTCACTTCTCTTTAGATCTTAATGTCCACAAATCATGACTGAAAGAATATTTTAGTACAAAAAATTACGTTTAAAAAGGAATTGTAGGGGACCAGCCAAGGGCCCATCAAGGAAAATGGGGAAATGTTGAATAGCTGCTACCGTAAACACCTTTAAAAGCCAAGAGAAACATTTTAAAACTATTTTCTGGCACACAGACAGCAAGTGGAGGTATAAACTACTGATCCCTGAGTATAGAGTGAAATCACCTCTGGCTTGAGTTTTCAGTTAATGGCATTTAACCTTTCTAACATACTTCTGACCCGTTGGCTTAATCCAGGGTTATACCAACTTTAATAACATGTTGCTAAACATGTGGTTCACAATCATCATTGTTTGTTGACAAAATGCAGAGTAGAAAAAAACCCAGCAGTCTTTCTGATGTAGCGGAGTTGCCTTTACTTTTTAAGCTGTGATGCTATGCTGATGTAAAAATGCACAAACATGTGACTTTTAGAATAATTCCTCACGGGTCTATTTATAGATCTGTGAAAACCCACATCCAAAAACCCTTCAGAGGGTGAACTCGACACAAATGGATTCATTTGAGGAGTTTTCTGAACCATTTGAACCACCATCCTGCTGAATCAGCTGGTGGCTGCATGGCGCCAGCAGGTAACAGCAGGTCCTCAAGCTGTCTGCTGAACTGTAGAAAATCAGGTAAAGCTATGGCTATTTTTTTTTGCAGCTGATTAGTGAGAAGATTGGTGTATCTTATTTTTTCCGCAGTAGTCTGTCTGTTTGATGTCACATTTTGGCTTTTTACCCTGAACTGAAAAGCTGAAAAATGTGACTGATACTGTTGACAAAGCTTTGTCACCAGACCAAAGTTATACCTTTTCTTCGTTGCTGGAAGAATGCCATTCATGCTTTTATCCCATCAATGATTTAGATGATTTCCTTTGTCAGAATGTGCCAGAGCTCACTTCCTTTAACCAAAACATCAACAGCATTTACCCAAGTTCTCTGATGCTTCATTGGCTTTCCAGTCAATCCTTACATCCATCTTTGTTCTTACTACACTGAAGCACTTTGCTCCACCTCACTAGTCACTCGGTATAAACAACAGGGCACTGAGGTCTTCATGGCAGACCATGAGTACCAAGGTCAAGGTGAAAACAGTGGGGTGAGTGGAATAAGCTTTACCCAAGTTTAGGTTCTATTATGGATCGGATTAACCGTCTAATGCTCAGTGGGACTCTGGTGTTCATCCACTCTTTATCTGTCCATCATCTTCTGACATGTTTTATGAGCATCTTTCTTAACTTTTTAATGTTGTATATAGTGATAAACAAACATACCGATTGACTGATTGGAGGGTTTTCTGATAGGACATGAATGTTTAACTAAATTTGTCATCTTTGAAGGTTAAACCAGGAAAAAATATTAAACTAAATACATATCGTAAGTTTACAGCTTAGCAGGTATGAGTCAACAGCTTCTTTGAGACTCACTTACACTCTGGTACCACAACCAGTATCACATGTAAGAAGTAAATGTAAAAAGCCTTAAAATAATTGTTTCTTTTTTCATAGACAATAAAGAAATAAGTGGTTTGAACAGTAGAGAATACCACAACTAAGATAAGGGAGGGTGTTTCACAGTGGCACAGTTAGCAGAAGATGGTCTGTTTGTTCTCCCTCTGCGTACATGGGCATTTCATTGGGTATCCTGCCTTCCTACCTCAGTCCAAAAAACATCAAATTCCTTCTCTAGATTGCTCTTCAGTATGTGGTGTGACCAAGTATTTGTTATCTTATGAGGACAATATTCCAGGAATATGCTACTTTGTAGGGACTTAACCTCACCAGTCGAGCAATCGACCAGTTGACTGGTCCCCAATGAGGACAGGTTCTTTTCTTGGGTTTAGAATTATGATCAGGATAAGCTATTAATTAATTTTTGGTTAGTTTTAAGGTTAGGTATGTGTTGGTAATGTTTGAGGATAGGATAGTCTGGGTTAGGCCAAAGAAGTGAATGCAAAATTCAATGTAAGTCAATGCAAAGTCCCTGTAAGGATAGCAGGCCTTAACATACGTGTGTTAGCTTGGAAGAGTGAAGGGGTACAAGGATGGATGGATGGATGGATGGATGGATGGATGGATGGATGGATGGATGGATGGATGGATGGATGGA